ATTATGAATGCAATTAGATCATACTTTTTTTTCTCTCATCTTCATTTCAGCTGTTTGTAATTTTGATGAATAAGATTGAAAAAGGTAGAACCACTTTAAGGCAAGCTTTTTAATCAAGATAAAACATCTAGGACTTGTTAATTGACACACGTATAAGAAGAAAGGTAACTTGTTCATCCAAGACAACATATAAAAGATAACAAAAAAAAAGAAAAGAAAACACGTTAAATTCTAAAGAAAAAGCACCGAACCCGCTGCATTTCAGCTCCGTTTAAGAAATACTAAAGTTATGCCTAATTGTCGATTTCTATGGCGAGGCCCGACCCAAAGAAAACGTGACACGCATAAATAAGGAAATAAATGCATATTTATCAGTCTAGACATGCATATCAACCGGCAAATAGATAGTTAAATGTATATCTATCAGATATATAGACAGATATGCCTTTATTTCTGCGTCTTTATTCATAAAAATTAATTGGGCCTGGCACAAGTTTGACAAACCGTTCGTAAATGTTCGTTACAGAAAACGAAAGAATTTTTTTTTTTTTCTTTAATTTATAGTCTTATTATAATCTTGGACGTTTCATAAATCACGTAAAGTATATCTAATCTACCAATATGATAAATTTGAAAGTACTTAATCTTAGTATTAAGTAAAACGAACACTCAATTATAACGTCAGCATCAAACGGAGTGAAAATCGTGTTTCACGAATGACATTCGTCTCTGTAAATAATAGCAAAATCTGTTGATAACTAATTATAGCTGTTGACACTTATTACACTGCATCTCTGTTCATGGTTCTTATATGTTATTTCAAAATTAGTCAGTGAAACGAATATGTGTATTGTTATATAAATTTGCATCGTCATTATTTTTGGAGGAGAATTTACATAAATATATGCTTTGAAGGTCTTGTACATTTCCTTTCAAAACTGAATAAATGCAGATTTTGTATTTCAATTGATACTATTCATAAAAAGTATGAATAATTTAAATATGTTTACCCTTTCGATGGCTGTCATTCTGTTTTCTATGATATATACATTACCACGTTTTCAGTTGAAAAGCAGGGGTAACAAAATTATTTCCCGCTAACCACATAAACCATGGACAGTGATTGTTGCTCACTGAATATAGATTGATATAATTTATTATTCTAATAATGATACATAGCTTACTCGGTGAATAACAAAATTTGACGTAAAATGTCAATCACAACACAAAACAAGGTGTTAAGAGCCTCTTTGTAAACATATAAAAGTAATTTGAATTGGTAACAATCCAAAACAGAGAAAATATTCTAAATAGACCGACTTAAAAATGCATTGGTTGATGTAGTGCTTGATCATTTCCATAAATTTAGGGAAGAAACAGTATTTTTTGGATTCAATTTTTGTTGACAGAGGCAAGATCTTTCTGCTTTACATATATTTGTATGAGAGAGAGAGAGGGAGAGAATGTACTTGATAAACGCTTTCTTTACTACACACGATCTCTCCTTTTCTTTCTTTCTTTCTCTCTCTCTTTCATTCTCTCTCTCTCTCTCTCTCTCATGTTTGGTTGTTTTAACCATTCCTATTTTCAATATTACCTTTACTCTGTCAACTCCATTTCTTAGCTATGATTTTATTTTTCTTGTTAGGGACATATACAACATTATACCCTATTTTTCATCTATTTTTTTCTTTCTTTCCATTCCTCTTAATCCCACCTATTTTGTACTGTTAACGGCATTATCATCTCTCTCTCTCCTTCTCTCTCTCTCTCTCTCTCTCTCTCTCTCTCTCTCTCTCTCTCTCTCTCTCTCTCTCTCTCTCTCTCTCTCTCTCTCTCTCTCTCTCTCTCTCTCTCTTCTCTCTCTCATTTCCCTCTTTCTTCCTTCCTCCTTGTCTCTCTCTCTCTCTCCTCCTGTTTCGCCTTCGGCATTCCATTCTTCTGTCTCCTCTTCTCTATTTCTGCCTCCTTCTCTTCCTTTCTGTCTCCTCATCCTTCATGTCTCCTCTCTCTTTCTTCCTCCTCCCTCTTTCTGTTTCCTTCTCTCCCTTTCGGTCTCCTTCTCTCCCATTCCGTTTCCTTCTCCCTTTCGTTTTTTTCTTCATCTACCTCCTGCTGACGGTATAGCGCTCTCTCTCTCTGCGTCTTGGGCATCTGTGTTTCTTTAGCAGGAATGGACCGTATTCGCAGGTAGGTGTTGTACATTCCCCGTTTGAAATGCATCTGCAGGAGGAAAAAAGAGGGGGGATAAGGACTTAAATCTCCTTTATATCTTATTACCCTTATTACCTATTATTGCTGTGTTCTCGTTATCATCATCATCGGTTATTATCATTATGAGCATCAATAATAAAAAACATTATACTTTTATATATCTTATATATTGCTGTGTTCTCGTTATCATCATCTTCATCATCGGTTATTATCATTGTGAGCATCAACAATTAAAAAAAAATACACACCATCATCACCACCATAAACAACAGAAACATCAATAACA